GATTAAGAGTTACTCTAAGAAACCACTTTTGGTCATGTTTCTTTATTTTGACTTTAATAAATTTTATTTATTTATTCTTCATCTCTTATCATCTTGTGAGTGCACAACCAACTTACGACCCTAAGGGGTGGTGTTCACGTGTGAGTTGGCTTTTGCCACCTCTAACTACGAAAGCTATTACGGGACCATTATGGATAACATTATGTTTAAAGATTATCATCTTATAAAAAGTTAGAGTAAATTACATAAATCGTTCACTGTACAGGTGCAAAGAGCACATCCAACCTCTACTTTCAAAAATTAAATCGAACCGTCTCTCGTTTAGGTTAAACTTGCACATATCATAATACACTTCTATTTTTATTTTATTTTTAATTAATTTGAGGTTTTTATTAAAATTTTCAATTTTTTTTTTTAAAAAAAAAACCCTTCCCCTCTACTTTTCCTACCTCATCCACCCCCTTCACTTCCAAACCCTTACGTCTAGTGTTACTGATCGGAGAGAACATAGAAAAAACATACACATATGTATGTGTATGTTTGTTGATTAGATACCAAGAGAGTGGTAAAAGAGACTGATAGATAACAAGATACAAAGAAAGAAAGATGCTTGGGAGACAGATTCGATGTGAGGGAAAGAGGAGACCAATTTTTAGGCACTGGACATATCCCCACTTAACCCCATGATGATTATAGTATAAAGAGATGGAGGAACACTTGGGATTGACCTAAACAATAATGAAGGTTGTGGGGTAGAGACAACATAAATCGATTGATTTGGGATTTTCTACAACTTAAAAGGTTGAGGTAAGAAAGGGGTTATAGGTTAGATGTTGGACGCCTTTAGTGGGGTCATGGGTTGGATGTTGGACACCTTCGATGGTGGGTTGCCACTGTGGTAGAAAGTATAATGATCAATTTCCTTATGTTTCGGATGATTTATTTCTTTGGTTTGTTTTTAATCGATTTTTAGATCTCTTTACTTGTAAAGTCTTGGGATTGGACGAAAGCTTTAAAAACTTTTAGGTCTACAATATTTGTTGATGGTGGGGTTGGATTTTCGGTATTGTTTTTTACGGATATGGCTAGTGGTGTTAAAGCTCTGAGAGGATTGTTTCAAGATATATGTGTGTGTTTGTGTATGTGTGTGTGTGTGTATATATATATATATATATATATATATAGACACACACATACACATACACACACAGAGGGAGAGAGAGAGAGAGAGAGAGAGAGAGAGAGAGAGAGAGAAAGAGAGAAAGAGAGAGAGAGAAAGAAAGTGAGGGGTAGTGGGGGAAGAAGAAGAATGAGAGATAAAAGAAGGTGGGACCCACAAAAATTTAATGTAACAACACGTATTTTTCATAAACATTTAACATTTGAATATTGGGAACATTATCGAAGTTTACATAAGTGATAAAAAAAATAAAATTAAAAAAAATTAAGAAAAAAAAAAACCAGAGTTTCAAAAACTTTAAAAAGTATATTACCAGCCAAAACATGCACGAGTGTTACCAAATTCATATGACAACCATAACTAAGTAAACAAGGATAAATGTAAAACAAAATTCTATTCCATAATCCTTGATGCTTCTAAATGCTCTCGTTCTAATGCTTGCTACCAGAACCTATTAAACACATGCAAACAATATTTGTCAGACTATAAGTCTAGTGAGTTATAACATAAAAATAAAACTCTTGGATTATGTGTCTAAGCCAATAACTGAATTAGTATAATCTAGAAGTATTAGCAAAGTCATTTTGGGTTGCCCTCAAACCTAGTAATTGAATAATATTATTTTTAGAGAGATAGAGACTAATTTATTAATTTCTTATGAAATTAATAAATTAATTAGAAATCAAAATAAATGAATTTATTAATATGTTATGAAAATAATATATTAATTAGAAATCATATTATTTAATTAATAATTCATTAGAAATTAATTAGAATTAATTTTGGGATTAACTGGATTAATTAAAAGTGCAGAGATTGTTTGGTTATTTGTTGAAAGTTGAAGTTAGAAGTCTCTAGAACTTCATGGAATGAGGCGGATGACAATTAGCTAGAGATCACCTAGAATTTTTGTCCAAGGGTGATTGGATAGGTAGACAAGGCAATTTGATTATTATACTGATTAATCTAGGTCTTATCCCCAAAACCATAGTTTTGGCCCCAAGTTTCCTTCAACTATATAAGCAATCCCTAGCCTTCAATTTTCGGCTACCACTTCATTGTGAAGAGCCTAGGCTGAAAATTACATATCTCCTATCCTCTCTCTTTAAGTATCCTGCTACTAAGGTTGGGTGTGAACCATCAGAGGCACGACACTTGTGGTGCTCGCTTCCAAAAGCTTTGAAGAAAGGATTCTTGATTATTTACTACAACAATCAACAAGGTATGCCATCTTCCTAATGAATTCAATTTTCATTAGAAAAATTTGTAGCTTGATAGTTCATAGTATATTGTCTTTATGTGAAAGACATGGATCTTTCTTAGGTTGCATGTACCCTAATCATTTAACTGTTAAATGTTATTCTGCTTAGAGCATAGTTTTGTAATCTATATCTTTCATGTAATTGAACATTAGTGAATCGATCGAACAAAGTTTTTTCAATTTTTGCATCTCATGACGTGAGCATTGATGCTCACAACGTGAGATCTGAACCGATCGAATTTTTTGTGTTTTTCTGCCTAATCTATTTTGGATGCTTTTATTTGGTAATTATCTACTTTAAATATTTGCCAAATCCAAATTTACTGAATATTTGATGGTAAAATAAAAGCCAATAAGTTATGAGATAAACCTTTGACTTGATTAGTTATTTTAATTTCTTAATATTATTAATTTTTAAGTTTGTAAATAATTAATTTTGATATTGATTGATTCTAATAACTAATGTCAAATATTAATTGGTTTATTTAAATAAATTAATTCTTTAATTTAAAATTTTGTATAAACCTAGTATTTTAGAAAAGTTTTTAAAAAATACAACTTATATATATATATATATATATATATATATATATATATATATATATATATATATATATATATATATATATATAACATTAAAAGTTAATTGCTATATGTATAATACTAAGTTAGTTGGATCGCTAGTATGTCTCGTTCACGAAGCCAGACTATAACGGGGGTATAAGGAAACTACCTACAAAATGGTAGTTAAATGGGTGTCCATTCTCACTCACGGATTCCTTGTTTGGTGGAGGGTCGTTAGCAGAACGGATCTGATAGGACGTGAACTTCATTAAAATTATAATGTTATTAAGTAACTAAAATATTTTATAAAAATCTCACTCTTAGTTACTTTAGGAAAAATGTGAAAAGTATGTTAATCCATAAAATAGTACATTATACTTTATAGTGGTTGGTGGAGCGTGTGGTTAACTAACACACTGATAGTGACTATAAAGAGTAATAACGAGCATCTCAAAAATAATAATTGATTAATGGAGTGTGTGTAGTTAACCGAAACTTCAAAATGAGATGATAAATGACATCGAGATTGTCAAGAATATTTGTATGGTTATTCACATCTTGTTTGTGATCCTGAGTATCTCAGTCATAAATAGAAGAGCATAATCTGATATTAAACATACCATTGATAGATTCAATGAATCTTAGAAGGTCTAAGAATTTCAAAGTTTGAAATTGGTAAATAGCTTTATGTACCTTCATAAATTCACAATAAGATTACAGCATCCCTCATCTTAGTTGTGAACTGTTATTTTGATCCTAGCCTTTATTGTTTTATTATGGGTTAAATATTAAGGAAATTGTCATCTAACTAAAACTATTCTTTTTCTCAATAGATCTTTACTCTTGTTGATACTTTTGCTCCATTGTCTTCTACCCACCACTCGGATTTCTCCCTACTCTCCATCGTCTCCAAAGTGACCTATGATGGCTCCAACTACAATGATCGGATATGCAACATCAGAATGGCTCTTTAATTCGAGAACAAAGAATATGCCCTTAAAGAAAAGCTTGTTGAAGTCAATGAAGCCACTACTACTCCTGAACAGCTAGCCTCCTATAGAAAACACTATGATGATGCAACAATTTTGATTGCATCATGGTCGCCACAATGACTCCTCAGTTGTAGAGGTTCTATGAGGACTATTGTAACACTTGGATTTTGGTATGTTCCTTTTAGCCCCTTTGTATTGATTTATTGCATATTGGCCCTTGGAGTAGTATACGAGGCGTACCACATGGTACGCTTAGCATGCTAGCTGAGAAGCTAGTACGCGGTGCGTACCACATGGTACACTTAGCATACTAAGGTGGAGCTGGATCTCACATCTAAGGCCTCATACGTTGGGCGTACGAGGGTTACGCTTAGCGGACTCGGAGGTTACTGAAACCCTAATTATAGGGTGTTGCACCTTATATACACTACTAGAAAAACAGCCTTTTACGACGCACAATGCATGTCGTAAAATGCTCAGACGAAGCGCAAATGCGTATCAAGGAAGGCCCTGTTATAACGAGAGACGACACACTATTGCGCGTCGTCTATAGACGATGCGCAGTTACGACACGCGATTTACGACACGCAATGCGTATCAAGGAAGGCCCTATCGTAAAGGAAGACGACACGCATTTGCGTGTCGTAACCTTACGACACGCATTTATGACTCGCATTGCGTATCACTAAAAGCCCTGTCAAGAAATGCCATGTCATAAATGAAGATGACACACATTTTTGTGTATCGTAAATTTATATGTTTAAAAAAATTATTTATAGATTTACTAATTTTCAAATTAAATTTGCATTTAATATCTCATAATAAATAAAATATCATATACAAAAATACAATCCATTGCATAAAATTTAATGTCATACAAATAATCATTCCATGGAAAGATAAAACAAATCAATAAAAGTTGTAATGGAAATTTACAAACTAATTAGATACAAGAAATATGAAAAACTTGAAATCCCTAAGATTAATAGTTCTAACAGAAGCTTCACGTGAAATACATACAGTTGGAACAGTAAGCAAGGATGTTCCTGAATCCACAATAGCAGCACAAGAACACGTACATGATATCTTCTGCAAGAATGTGCCAGTCCAAAACTACTGTTGAAGGTTGCCATGATAGCTGTTAAGATTGAAGCATAACAAGAAACCAATCAGTGACTATAATGAGCTAGAAAACAAGAAACTAATAAACAAAATAAGCAACTAATTAAGTAAAACTATGACTATGTATTGTTCATACAAGAAAAATAAGAAAAAAATGTTGATTTATTGTTGTTCATACAACACTCTCCAGACAACACTTAATTGAAGAAAATAATAAGGCTAAACTTACAAGAAAAATAAGGAAAAAAATAGTTTTGAGTGTAAATTTCAAGATAAAGTCACCTGCACCCCAGTATAAATTTCAATAAACAACTTTTGAATGACATAGAGCAGGTACCTCTTGATTAGCACGTGCATGGTCTCACATTAGAAATAATAACAAATTCACTGCTCCACCCATAAACATCAGCTTGAATAAGTATATTGTATAAAACCCTATCTCTTACTCGCTCATTCAAATTACCTGTATAAAAAATAAAAATAAAAATAAAAACATCAATTATAACTAAATAATGACATGATTAGGGAGCTTTAACCAACCAACAATCATCTTTCAACCAAAAGTATAAAGAGTTATCGAAAAAGGGAACCAGATCATGTCATAGAACAAGAATTCAGGAAGAAGACAAGTTTGAAAGCATACAGAATAACATTTAGCCAAGCAAGTGTAATCTACCTGTAAACTTGAAAACACAAAACTCTGATTCTCATTCATACATTTCAGAATTTTACATGGTCCGAAGATTTTTAAGAAATTGAATTTCCGGTCCAAAAATCAATCAACCAAAATTAATTGTAATACAAACAATTACGCTAATAATCCCGATTGTTGGGACTGGTATTTAGAATCCCACACACAATGCAATCAAATGACTCGACTAATGGTCGAAAATTAGCAACTTTATTAAGGTAGATTTGAAAGTTACCAATATAAACAATGCTTTTTGTTATCTAATCATGCTTATTCTTTACCACCTCTACACTCAATCTCCAGCTCTGCCTTTATCATAGCTGGTGCTAGCTTATTCTTTACCACCTCGACACATATACCAAGACCAGTAACCTGAAAATAGATAAATTTCCTTTTATTATTATCATTATCATTATAATAAAACAATTATTATTATAAACATTTTCCTGAGTCTTGAGCAATCCTTTTCTAGCAATTCTCAATGTCTATCCCTACCAACTATGCACGATTAATCAATGTCCTTTGGATGTAATAAGAAAAGAAAGAAAATGAACTAAACTTTGCTAGACCACCAACTTCCTGTGTACAGACTCCATTCCGTTTTTCTTGATGGCTTATCCTGCTACCACTTTGTTCTCCATTAAGAAGGCTTAGAACCTGAATTTCCAAGTAACAAGGATTTAAATATAACAAAAAACAATCAATTAACATGAAATATAAAGTTGTTTTGTGTACTAAATGGCTAAATGCATCATGTTTTGCTACCACTTGTGGGGTTAATAATTCAGTTCATAACAATCCACAAAAGACAGCGTTTACTTTTAGTTTGTTTTTTTTTTACTTTAACTTAGCCCACAATTTCAAATAAGAAAGTTGCATGAGTTTGATACATGAAAAAACTTGTAAACTAAACCACTCATTGCATACCTTATTTGGATTTTCCCTTAAAGAGGCTTGAGGAGACTCAGAGCATTTTACCACGACGTCTATATTTTCAGTAAAGTAAGAGCTGACAATGGAAAAAGGTTCATCATTTTTCTTCCTCAATATCGCCTTAAGCACACATATGGCTTTCACACGGACCTAAAAGTACAATGAATCAAGATATGAAAGGATTTCAATGTGACAAACATAGGAAACTAAATCTTGTATAGGATAAAAAAACACACCAATAAAATACCTGCCACATATGAGATTGGAGTTAGGCTTCTAGAGCATGACTTAAAGCTACTGCATTCAATTTTGAGGCCTCCATTAAGAACACATGAATGGCATCACGAGTAGGTTGAAGGCGAACACCACCATATGTTACAATGGTCTCTAATAACCTCTCTTCACGACTCTTTTCATTCAAATAACTTGAGCTTGCATTCCCATTTTCAGTATCTATTTGACTTGTTTTTAGATCTTGACCCCAAGATCCAGATGTATTTGTTGATGACCTAGAAGAAAGTTCAATCTGACTAGAAAGTTCTTTGCTATCAAAGTAACTCGATTCATTAGTCAGTTATCTTCTCAGATTAGGGCCCCTGTAAGTTCCTGTGTCATTTTTATTATGAGTTTGAGCTTATAATAAGCTATTTAACCCTCGCTTGATTGTTTCACTTCCAATGCCAACCATATCACTAAGAAACGACTTCTTATCATCAGATGGAACGTCAAAGTTTGTGTTTCCAAAACCTTGTATACGTTGTGTAAGACCTTCTTGTGGTGGTGGTTTACTGTTGTCTTCTCCAGCAAATATAGTTGATAAATCTTCTTGAGCAGTTTCTCTTACAGACTTATTAAAGGCATCATCCTTCAATGGATCCGGTTGTCCGTTGTAGTAAATTAGCTGACGAACAGCTACCGAGATCCTTTGCATTTATTTATGTAGTGAGAAAAAACCTACTCTGATTCTAGCCATAGCCTTTAGACCATGTTGCAGGTTTGAGGTACATCAAAGCCTGAAACTGTGAGATTGGATCATTATAGGAGTTTACTCATTTTGCAAGGATTTAAAGTTCTTCTACTTGGCTTAATACATCATTAGCCTTCACAGGAACACCAAAAAAATCCAATAATGGCCCCTGATTTGATTAAACATCAAAACAAATCATTTTTAAAGTTAACCTCAATCCCATTTCTATTCATGTAATTGATAAGAAACTCTAATGGAATAGAATAGAGCAATTTAAGAAAGTAAGTTAACCTTAGGGTCCATAATTCCTCCTTTAACTACTTCTCTGCAACCATCTAATAAAACATCAAAAAGCTCAACCTGTGCATCTACTGGAGCAGCTTCAGTATACCTACGAACCTCTGCAGCTATCAACCTCATTTGGATATCGTTTCCAAACTTTTTCACCTATGATATATTAATTACTCATCCTTATTCACTTCAAAGGCATTAAATTAAATTAAATATGTTAATTATAGAGAGAGAGAGAGAGAGACTAACTGCACACAAAAAAACATGTAGCATCTCTCTTTGGTAAGGTCCCATATGACCAGTTGCTCAAGATCATAAGTAAACTGCAATAGAAAATTAAAGAGTGGGATAACAATAAGGGAGGTATTGGATCTGAGCAAAGATTATTCGAGAATAAGTTGGTTCTGAAACCTGGATGAGGCTGGCAAATAACATATTTGAATAGCTTTAATTGCATACCATAAACTCTCTCTCTAGCTCCAACGTCGTTGGTGTAAAGGTGAAAGAACCCACGAAACCATCCTCTATTGTAGCATATTTGGCCGGTACTAATTTAATTTTATGTTGATGAGGGTAGCAACTTAATGAACGAACCTGCAAGAAAACACAATTTGGGTGAGAATCAAGAAAGCACTAGATATCATTATAGCACCTGGTTTCCGGTATGTGAATTTTATTTGAGTATTGCCCTATTTTAGCCTTGGACTCGGTGAGTCACTAGGTCCGACTCGCCGAGTAGGGACGAGACCCAGGACACGTTTAAGTTGGCGACTCGGTGAGTCCATATCCTGGACTCGGCGAGTCACCGCTGGTGGATGAAACCCTAAGTTTCAGGGGTTTGCACCCTATTTAAACCTCATATCTACCTCTTGCCAGCCCCCATTCACCCCCAGAGCTCCCAACCCTCGTCCTAACTCGTCCTAAGCTTGTTTCTTGTGAATTTGAGGCTCTTGTGTGGATTCTTGAAGGTTTTGAGGCAAGGAGGGGAAAGAGATCAAGAGGAAGGAGAGCCATCCAAGCATCATTGTGTTTTTCAGCAGGATTCATTGAGGTATATCTCGTTTTCCCCCTGTTTCTATGCTTAAGATTTCATTTAAGGCACTCTTGAGCCATTCCCCAAACTTTTTTGTGCTTAATGTTTCGTAATAAGTGGGTTGGCCTTTAGATCTAGGCAAGATTGAGCTCCAAGAGCTCAGATCTGTTAGCTTTATGGACCCATGTGGCTTGTTCATCCTAGATCTACCCTTTTTGAGGCATTTTGGACCCTAAAATCCATATTAGTGAAGATTCACACGTAAAGTTGGAAACTTTACGTATGATTCATGTCTTAGAAGTCCAGATCTATGAATGGCATGAACTGAAATCGAGTAAATCGGTGTATTTGGTGGATGCATGGCGACGACTCGGCGAGTCTGGTCGCGAGTCACCGAATTGGTCCCTTTTAGACGTATCGAGTTGAGCCGTGAGTCACAGGGGGTGACTCGGTGAGTTGAAAGCTGGACTCACTCATGATAGGACTCGGCGAGTTGTTCGTACAACTCGGCGAGTCTTAGCATATGTGTTCTTCGGATGAAGATGAACTCAACGAGTTGTTCATACAACTCGGCGAGTAGGATGAAGGAGTTGAATGACAGTTTAGAAGATGAACTCGTCGAGTCATAGCCCAACTCGACGAGTAGAATCAGGGACCCAGGACAATAGTTTGCTAGGGACTCGGCGAGTGGAGATCCACTCGGCGAGTCGGGTAAACTAAAAGTTGACTTCGATTTGACTTAGGGCTAGACCAGGGGTAAAATGGTCTTTTTACCCAAAGGACAGTTAGCAGTGTATGATTAAGTATATTGTGGGAATTACAGCCGGGGAGTTTCCGGAGTAGCAGCAGCAGTAGTAGGTGATTAATTCCCACATAGACCAGCAGCTATTTCGAGGTGAGTTTCCTTTCAGTAGTAATGGGTCTAAGGCACCAAGGTTGGCCCGTATAGATGAGACGTTAGTATTATAGTGTGGGCCGAGCCCGTATCTATTAGTCGAGTTGATTGTGATATATACCAGTATGATAGAACTGTTTATACTTGTTGTCTGCGTGATACTTGTATGATATGTGTTGACGGTTGGGTGTGGGCGAGGCCCGTATCCCTCCGATAATGGAGTGTGGGCTAGGCCCGTATCTCCCAGGTAGCAAAGTGTGGGCGGGGTCCGTATCTTCACGAGTGTGGGCGGGGCCCGTATCTCTCAGAAAGTGAGGTGTGGGCGGGGCCCGTATCCTCACGAGTGTGGGCAGGGCCCGTATCTCCTAATTGCATGTTATTCGTTATATGTTGTATGGTATGGGGTATTATGGGGGAGCTCACTAAGCTTTGTGCTTACGGTTTCGGTTTTGGTTTCAGGTACCTCCTCAGCTAGGGGAAAGGAGCCGACACGGTAGCAGCATGTCACACACACACTCTTCGGTTTCCGCATTTACGAGATTCACTGGGATTGTACTCTGATATTTGATGGGTTGTATGGTTTGATTATTAAAACATGGTTTGCGATGTGTTATGGCGTGATCAAACAACGTTTTTATTTATTAATGTTTTCTAAAAGTAATATTTTAAAATGAAATTTTTGGACATGAAAATTGGGTCGTTACAATCATTCTCAAAGTTCTTTTTCCGGCTGTTATTAATTTGAGAGAAGAAGCATGAAATAGACAATCCATGTTGAATAACTTACCTGAAGTGGATTTCAAGACACTTTCCATGCCAAGTTTTAAGATTACGTGTGACTTTTGCTACTGATTAATTGAATTGATCCCTAGGATTTTGTTCTGCCTGAAGGTAAAGTCTTTTGATATGAAATTGGAACCTACCTCCACCTCCGTATTGATTGAATCTTAGAAGAACTTGAAAACCGATTCATGATTCACTATGAGAATGTGGGTGAAGGCGAAGGCCCTAGGGCTTCTTGTTGGAGGCGTTGGATGTGGGTGAAGAGGTGGGTGAAGGCGGAGGCCCTAGGGCTTCTTGTTGCTAATTCAAAGATGAACATCGATGGTAGAAGGTGGAGGCATCAGTAGAGGGAACAAGGTAAAAAGAGAGGAGATTGAACCATTTAGTGTGAGGATCGAACCATTTAGTGTGAGGGTCGATGTGAAGCGATTGATCCATAATTTTCTTTGTCTACATCAATTCTTTGGGCTCACATAATCGGACGATGGTGGTAAATGAACCATTCTTTGAGAAGGAAGGTGTATCGCCATAATTTGAGGCTAGAAGAGGTAATGAGGATTGGAGGCATTGGATGTGAATGAGAGGTGGAGACGAGGGAGAAGAAGGTGGGGGTTTAAAAAATTTGGGGATTTCATTTTTCCTCAGAGACACGCGTTTCTTAAAAAAAATCTAAAACGACATTCACAGAGGAGCATAAGTGCCCTCCGGGTTTTTAATATTTTTACATGAGACACTAATTTAAGGGCACGCAATAATGCGTGACCTAAATCCTTAAATTTTTTGAAGAGATGACACTTTCTTAATGTCACTCTCTTTTGCGTAACATAAATCACTGAGGGACGTGGTTTGCACGTCGTAAAAGGGTCTTTTTCTTGTAGTGATAAAGACCATAAGTCCCTAGGGCTGGCTTGTTTACAAGCCCCCATATCTTCTAAACCCTAAAATCGGCCTTAAGCCTCCATTGTTGTATTTTTTAGCTCTTGAGAAGTAGTTGGTGTTGGTTTTGCTCATTTTGAAGAGATTGAAGAAGGTGGAAGGTTCATAGCCTGGTTGGAACTTGTAGATCCAAAATCATCACCCATTTTGCAAGCCTTTTGAGGTATCAAGTTCGTACCTTGGCTTTTGAATGCTTAGATCTCTTTATGTCTTGATTCTTATGCTTTAGGCCCCTTTATGGTTTGGTTGATGAGTTAATATGTTGTGGGGCTTGTCCTTTTAAATATGAGCATGTTATGAGGTTCTTAAGCATAAAGGTGCAAGCTTTATGGGGTTTTCGGTCACATACATGTATTAATTTATCTATTATGTCCTTTTAGCTTTAAGGGATTCATTAATCCATGGATGCATGTAATGTTAGCAACTTTACATGATAAATCAGCTCAAGGAAGTCAAATCTAGGTCTTGGAGTAAAGTCTTTATGGATTAAGATCTGGAAATGAGTTTTGGCTGAATGGGGGAGTACGTCGGGCGTACAAAGAGGTACGCTTAGCGTACAAGTGCTAAAGCAAGTACACCCCACATACTCAGTTAGTTGGGGTTCACATATTGGATCTTCGGTTGGGCCATTACTTTGGGCTTTAATGATTAGGGATTGTTGGCCCATCTGAATTCTTGTTGTTTTGGGCTGGGTATATGTTGGAGATTGGACTAGTGCCCATCGAAGGGATTTAGGCAAACTTTGGAAAATTAGGCCATGTTTGGGCCTTGTATAATTATTTTGCTCATTGGGCGTTTTGGATTGTGAGTTTTGGCCTTAGTCATTGACCAAACTAGTTAATGGGTAAAATGGTCTTTATACCCTAATTATGGACTGATTGTTATGGATTGGAATCCAATTATTAATGGGATGATTATTTGATATTGATAGCTCGAGAATTTGTGTGACATCCCCAATTTCACGGCCAGAAAAGACTGATTTGTTTATGCTTTGTTTTATAAATCAGAGTGATCGTTTAAAGAAAA